CCCTGGGAAAGTCACTGCCCGCCCGGGTCCCGCACCAGCCCCGCTGCGGTTAGAGACGCGGCGGCGCTGCTCGCGCCCGGGAGAAGCGGGCGGGCACAGGGCCTGCATGTGTCGCACCGAGAGAAAGGTTGTTCTGGGGACAGTCTTTCAAACAGAAACTTTCCTGTTTTACAAGTCAAGTTAGAAACCTGTGTTGCGGGTCGCCCCGGGGCGGTGGTTGACCCCAGGTGCGAGCGCGGTGCCCGGAGGAGGTGTCCGCGGTGTTGCTCGCAGAGGCCGATGGCTAGTTTCATGCGCTTCAGCTCTTCTGAGACGTGTCCTCGGAATTCAGCCTTGAAGCAGGAGGGTGGGGAAAGAAGCATAAAATAAAATAAACCCAGCCAGTCAAACGCACCCCAAAGCTTGTTTGGGGCCTTCTCTCTTAGGAACTTTTTTTTAGGAAGTGTTTTCATTGATTTGCGTGGCGCTGCACTTGACATGTTTGTGTTTTATTATTTTTTTTAAAATATTTTATTGAATTTTTACAGAGAGGAAGGGAGAGAGATAGAGAGTTAGAAACATCGATGAGAGAGAAACATCGATCAGCTGCCTCCTGCACATCTCCCACTGGGGATGTGCCCGCAACCCAGGTACATGCCCTTGACCGGAATCGAACCTGGGACCCTTCAGTCCGCAGGCCGACGCTCTATCCACTGAGCCAAACCGGTTTCGGCGACATGTTTGTGTTTTAAAAGAACACAACGTCGGCTTCAGAGGGAGCGCTTGCCGGCCGTCGGGAATCATCCGCGTCGGAGGGAGGACTGGGGGGAAAGTCGGGCAGCTCGGTCTGAGTCTGAATGAAGCCGGGGTCCCTCTCCTCCGGGGAGCGAGGTTGGCTGGGCTTTCATTCCCGGTTCCGCCGCCGCTTCGGACACACTCTGCCGTAGGCACTGCGGTTGCACCGATCCCAGCGGACACACATGTTCTGATCGGAGAGGGAGACACGGGCGCCCTCCCGGCCTCGCACCCGCTCCGGGGTCCGTCCATCTGCTTTGCCTCCAGCGGCTCTCTCTCTCTCCCCAGCCCCCACTTCTCTCCCACTCTCTCTGGAAATCAATGGGACAATATCCTCCGGTGAAGATTAACCAATAAATAAATCCTATATAATAAAAGGCTAATATGCAAATCGACAGAACCAGCAGAAGGACTGGTGGCTATGATGCACACTGACCACCAGGGTGTCAATGCAGGAGCTGCCCCCAGCCTGCAGGCCCCAGGCCAGCCAAGGTGGGTGCCAGCAAGGACCTCCCCATCACCCCACCAGTTGCCCCAGAGATCAGCCCTAATCGCTGGCCAGAACTGTGCACAAACTGCAGGGCCACCGCCGGGGTCTGCGCCGGGAGAGGAAGCCCCGGGCGGCCAGTGCCGAGGTCTGGGGACATCTGGGCGGATTCGGAGCCAGCGCGCGGTTTAAAAACAGTCATCACGGGCATTTAGGACGAAGGAAAGCGCGTGTTATAAGCGCGAGAAGGAGAAGACAGGAAGGTGAGGATGGGATGGTAAGGAGACGGGAGCCTGTCTTTGCTGCTGCCCGGTTTTATTTTCACCGGGAGGATGTTCTTTGCGTGTGATACCGAGGATGGCGTGGGTTTGACTCAGGACGGACGGGAGATGGGTTTGAGCGGCCGGGCAG